TTGGTTTCTCTCAGTTACAACCTACGCCTCTTCATGGTGACAACACTAGTGCTATTCAAATTGCGGCCAATCCTGTGTATCATGAACGCATCAAACATATTGAAATCGACTGTCACTATATTCGGGATGCCTATGATTTCAAGGTCATCGCTCTTCCCCATGTTTCCACTTCTCAACTAGTCAGAGATATCTTCACCAAATTTCTAACACGCCATCGTCATAATTATCTCGTTAGCAAATTGATACTTGTGGACTCCCCAACATCAATTTGAGGGGGGGGGGGTATTAGCGTGTATTATTAGAAAATTAGAAATTATTTACTTACTGCAATTTAGGTAGTTTCCTTGTACATAATAGCTAGTTTCCATGTATACTTTGTATCCTAAAATAACTTGTAACTTCTATAAAGAAAAACCATGAACACGAGAAATTCATTCAGCAAAAATATTGTCACACCAATTCAAAATTCAACACAGAATCAAAGAGGAACTCCTGTCCCTGTTCGATCTAACACCCAAGGCAGAAATCAGACAGCCACGAGCTAATAATGACCTTTATGCACGTCCTAATCTGGGAAAGTGCTTTCGGTGCAATCAACGAGGTCATCTTTCAAATAGCTACCCAAACAGACGATCCATTAACTTTGCAAAAGAGGACAATAGTGGGGAAGAGCAAAATCTTGAAGACAATGATTATGAAGGTGGTGATGTTGCAGATGCAGATACAGGGGAAGAATCGGCGTGCATTATCCAACGCCTTTTGCTTGCTCCAAAAAAGTCTGGTACCTCTCAACGACACAAGATCTTCAGGACTCGATGCACTGTTCGTAAGAAGGTATGCAATGTGATCATTGACAGCGGTAACAGTGAGAATGTCATTTTGAAAGCAATGGTAAAGGCTCTAAATCTGAAAACTGAGATACACCCTTCGCCATACAAGATTGCGTGAATTAAAAAGGGCCCGAAAGTTCAAGTTTTACAGATTTGTAAGGTTCCTTTATCAATTGGGAAATATTATGAAGATGAAATCAT